TTAGAAGCCGCCATCAATTAATTTTATTAAAAAATAATCTAATGCCTTAGAAATGGATAATACCATTTTAAAAGAAACAGAAACGGGGGCTAGTCGTTTTCGTTTTCCTATTCTAAGAAGTCTGTTTGCTTATTTATATTACACAAAGTAGAAGAAAGATGAAAGAATGTAAAACGGTGCGTGCTTTGCATCTTTCTCGACATCTTAAATGGCCGTTTCGCGTAGCGAGTTTCCTAACTATTATGACGATAGCAAGTGGTTCTTGCTGTTGCTGTGACTTATCTCACTTGTCTGTCAGTAACATCAGAATATTCATCGTGAGGAATGCAAGATTGCGTCTGGCAAGAGCCTTGAGCATTATTACAGGTGACAGTACAGCTTTGCTCAGTTATGCCCCCCTCCCAGTTTTGAAGGAGAGCACACCAAGGAGGATGCATCCGAGGGTCTCCCATCCCTCTTCCCCTACCATTAACCTCTCGAGAAGACTTTCAGCTCGCCGCATATTAGAGTGTCCTCACTATTACATTTTCAAAAATCCATGCGTTCTCCGAGATTCGAACCCTGGCCCTTCGGGACGGCAGTCCAGCGTTGCTAACCACTATCACGATTGGTTCGGCTAGCAAGTGGTGTGTGTGTGTATTTAATTATGGCGTTAATAATGTAAATTACGTTGGTTACATACTTGGAGGAAACTATTTTCATATTCAGGGCTTATGAGCTTCTGTATGACAATAAAATTATGCAGTATTACATTAATGACATCAGCAGATGGGTACTTTAACCCACCTCTATCACAATTATGTGTGTGCGTGAGATTATGGCAAAGCCTCGAGGGCTATCTGCCTAAGAGGAGGGATGCCTTCGTGGAGGACTTCTAAGGGAAACTGGCTCGTATACACGTTCACATGGGGAAAACCACGAAAACGCCCATGCAGCCAGCCCGTTCGCGGGATTCGAACCTCGGACCGAACTACCAGTGTTCAGCGACTTTACCGCTCGGCCGCTGGTGGGCCCGACTAGCAAGTGGTATATGGCCAGTTGAAAAAACACTGACATCATTAGAAAAGCCATCACTTTTCTGAAAATGAAATTGGTAATTTCCGTTTGAACTGTTTTACAAATTGCAGAAATGATGACGTGTACTTAATAAGGTTTTTTTAAAAGAAAAATTAAGAAAGGACAGAAAACATTTCCTAATGATTAGTGCGGACATCTTATTTTCTTAATTTAAGATAAAATGTAACATAATTGAGACTTTGAGAAATAAACTCTTTTTTTTTTTTTTTTTTTAAACTTCTAAAGCAAGTTTTATTGTACATTATAACCAAGAAAAAACATGATTTATTTTAGCTAACAAGTTATTTTTCACGTTAATCTTTCCTGTAACTTGTACACATTTCGTAAGCTTTCATTAGAATGAAAATTAAGTGGAATTTAAACAGCGAGTGAATGTATAATTTACTAAAGCAGCTTTGGCAACCGAGTTGCAAAACAGTTTACTTTTTGAGTCGTTCGCCTGTATGCCGATGGGTAATATTTTGAGTTTGTTAGCGCTTAGAGCAAGAATTTGGAATGAGCCAAGGCTTTGAAGTTATTTTTGTGTTCTTCATATTTAAGCATTTATATTTCTAAGACCTGCAAGACGAGCTGGAGTTAAAGACGAGTTTTGTTAAATTTCAGTTTATCTTCAAAATGTAGTTTTAACGAATTTTTTAGCTAAACTATATGTCTTCTCTGTGTTCTTTCAATTTCAGACTTCTTATTAAGAATTCCTCGAAAACAAAAGAAGATTAAAAAAGTGTGTAGTTTAACAGTTAATTAGGTTTAATGGTACGATGAAAAAGAAATACATTCCAAATTATTATCATACAAGTATTCGCCAATACAAAATTTATAAAAGGCGATAATGATTTCTGAAGCAGAACTAATTTAATCGATTATCTAACAGAGATCTTGACTAATTATGCATAAAGCGAAATTAAATTTAGCTACTAGGAAAAAAAAATTACAGTGTCTAGACCATTTTTTGGACGCACGATGTCGTATTATTTTACTCATTTAATAGTATAAAAGTAGAATTTTAAACGAAGGTTATATAAAACTTGGATAATGCTAACAAATATATAAGCTAATACTTCAAAAGATGAATTTAAAAAATAGCAATTTTATCACAGGTGGCAAACATCCTTATCTATGCATTTTTTACCTGCGCAGATGTTACGATAAATATTATTAACTTTATATTATGAAACCAAGTTTTAAAGAGATTAATGTTAAAACGTCTTAGCAATCTTCCGAAAATTTCTGGACTGTTACGTTACATTACAGTACCATGCATTTTTACTTCCTTGTACGAAGTAAAAAGGAAGTATTGTAATCGCGAAAAGTTTCAGGCAGTATATTTCAACGAAAATATCCATTTTGACCGCTATCGAATGCAATTTAACGATGTTTTTGCGTGATATCTGTACGTAAGGACAGAATAAAAGACTCTTTTCCTAAAAAAAAAAAAAAAAAAAAAAAAAAAAATTATAAAACTGCTTTAAAATTAATTCTGAAGATAATTTTTCGTGGCGTCTATACGAACGTATGTACGTACGTATCTCGCATAACTCAAAAACGAGTAGCCTCAGAACGTTGAAATTTTGTATAGGACTGCTATAATATGCTATAGCTTCATTTAAAAATACAAAATATTATGATCTTTCCAAAATTCTTTTTGTAAAAGCAGTCGCAAGGATGAAAGTTTAACGTGTCCAAAAATCAAAGAAAAATAAACTGTACATTTTTAAAAATAAACTTTTTTAGAAAAATCCCGTTGAAAAGGTGTTCAGCTCACTTTGTTAAATAAATTCGTATTGAATCGATTTATTGAAACACGAAATTTATTTTAAGTTCGTGAAATAGCTAAGTGCCTACGTTTCATGAGGATGTGAAAATGGAGTGCGTAGAGTAAAATCTCGCTTTCCTGTAGCCCATTATGTCTCAAAATGTCGCGATTTCGTCACAAAACATAAAATTAAAAAAAAATCGAATTGGAATTTCGAAAAAATCGCTTCGAGGCGCACTGGCTCTTGTCTAGATGCACCTATGTACCAAATTTCGTGAGCCCTTCCTTCCAAATTCCCTTCCTGAAGAAACAACTCACTCAACAATGAACTTTCAGAAAAACGGAAAAATCTAGAAACATTCACTCTTCCATCAGAAGTTACTGATGAGGGATGGCAGCGGAAGAATCGATATGATTTTTGATAACACGATGAAAACGGAAATCACACACTGGTGCCTGTTTCTTCCGGCAGAAAACTGTTTGGTGCATATTGTCCTTTACAGGAAAAGATCCACACTTTTTACTGGAATCAGAATTGTTAATTGTTTATAGTACTCCTACTCCTGCACTTTGCTGATCAGGTGTTTTGTACCGCTGGCTATAAATATTCGTATTACTTTTATGTAGGGTCTCCGTGGGATAGATTTCGAGGAGTCCTACATAATAAAAGTTTGGAAAACGCTATGATGCATTACTATTCGTTACGGCACGGTTATAAAGTTCTGTAGAAATGTGTGCGATTCAAGAAGAGCACTTTATCTCCAAGAAGCATGACAGATTTTTAAGCCTTTTCTATGTCAGAGTGACATAATACAAAATGGTAAAGTCAACTTGAAAGAAGATCCCGAGGAAATAGCTTCTGAAAGACTTACAGCTAGTAGTGAAGATTGTTACCGAAGAAGACGAACAAATAGAGACTCAGTAACTCAATTTCGCCAGATTTTCTTTTCTTCCTCTTCTTTAAAAAAAGGAAAAGAGAAAAAAAAATATTCTCTTTCGAACTGTCGAAAGAGATGAAGAAGGGGGAGGGAGTTGGATAAGTAAATACAATGCAATTGTACATTTTGATACATTTAGAAATAGCGCGAAGAAGAAAGGCGGCGCGAAAACGAAATATTTATTTTAGAGAAGAAAGTGCTTTACCCTCGTCATAGCTGAAATTCTGTAGAAGAATTATTTCTTTAAATCTTATTTTACAAGAAAATGGAAAAGTACTAAAGAAATATAGTTTTTAAGAGCAAGACGAAAACTTTTCGACGCTAACTTCGATGTTGAAATTACAAATGACTCTTGAACAAATTTTAGCAATAGCGAACACTCTCATGGAAATTGCCTCTTTAAGACAACTACTTCTAAAAATGGCCCTATTTAAGGAATCGTAAAAAACATCATATCATAAATAAATAGGCTTAGCGGCACTTGACCAATTTTAAAATTGTTGATAATTCTAAAAATATTGCATACAGATTTACTAAAGGCATAAAAACCTTAACCGGAAGATAAAAGCAACATAATTCAATCATTTTTAAAGCAAAAAATGTACAATTTACAAACATATAAGAGTAAAGAAACTGAGATAACTGAGCCGGGTAATAGAGTGGATATATATATAAATATATTTATATACGTTTGGCGCGGCCGATTGAAACCAAAATACGAGGTGCACATCTACATGTTATAGCAGTCCTATGTACAAAATTTCAACGTTCGGAGGCTACTCGTTTTTGAGTTATGCGACATACGTACGGTACATACGTTCGTACAGACGCCACGAAAAATTCTTTTCAGAATTAATTTTAAAGCAGTTTTATAATTTTTTTGGAAGAAACGAATCTTTTATTCTGTTCTTATGTACAGATATCACGCAAAAACATCGTTAAATTGCATTCAAAAGCGGTCAAAGTGGATATTTTCGTTGAAATATGCTGCCTGAAGCTTTTCGCGATTACGGTACTTCCTTTTTACTTCGTACAAGGAAGTAAAAAGATTTCCACAGCGTCTGACGGACATCATATGTTACCCTTTTCCGTAGAAGTTTCTTTTTACATTGAGAGTTCGCTACTGAACATCACCGATTTATGATGGTTAATTTCCTAGACAGAAAAATGACATGAAACATTTCGAAACATACTTCCTTTATTTCATGCAAAGAAGTAAAGACAGGCCAGAAACGATCACCTGATTGTTTAAACTATGTTGCATCAGCCAGTGGGATAACCAGAACTGAAGATGATGAGTCAATGACGATGAGGAACCTATGAGGCGATGACGATGTTATGGTGAAATGGAGGACGATGGCGCTTCCGGACTTGCCTGTACCAGAAAGAGACTTCCAAGAATTCAAAGAAAATTCTGAATCAGAAATTGACGTCATGAAGTTTGAGTAATGTATATTTATATTAAATGAAATAAAAGTAATATTTTTCAATTAATACAAATAATTTAATTATAGATATTTTTTGAATTATTCATTTTATGATCAAATTAATCATTATCTAAACCTTATCAATAAGCCGAGATCCAAATTTCAGTAGCCACAAATTCTAGGTTTATTTACGGAAATAACGGATATTTATTGATTTTGTACAGTCATTAAGTAATATCGATGTTGGAATGTGAAAAATATGAAATGTCCTCGAAAATCTCGAACTTCCGAATACGCATACAGCGTGCTTCCAGTTACACCACAAAGGCATTCGGAAAGCAGGGAATTAATTAATATATATGACTGTTCTATTCTAATACTAATATAAATTCTAATATTATACTATTGCTCATCGGAGATTTAATAATTTAACTCCACTGTACCAAATATTTATCTACGCTAGGTATATAATTAACGTATCCATATTTTAGACCGCCAGATTTTTGAGCTCCGAGTTGACCAGTGCTGTCCAACTATAAAACCATAATAGCAATCTAATACTGCATATACACAGGCCTACTCTTAACCTCATATTCTACTGAAATTCCAGTACTAAAACTAAACGGCAACTCTATTTCATTTAAAAGATCGAAGGCGGCCATGTTCACAAAGACTTTAGCGGATCGATGATACCCTCTTCTCCATCTCAGGCTTAATGGATTTAAGTAACTCAGATTTAATACAGATATATTATATCATGCATGGAGAAGCCTATTTGATGAGTAGCATATCTCTACCCATGATAACAGTGTAGCGGACTTGCTTTCTGCCATCGGTCCTATGATTGCTCTGGAATCTGCAACTCATTTGATATTTTGATTCCAGGGCTTTGGGTTGAATGAATCCTGCTTGAAGGTCAAAAAGGATCTGGGCAAACAGCCAAAAAGGCAATGAGGACGACTGGGAAAGGAGCAGTGATGGAATTCCTTTGACAAAGGATTATGATTCATATCGCCCTCCCTACGCTTATGATTTTGGCATAGAATGTCAAAACCCTATCATCTGTTTTAATGATAAATAAGCGAAGACAAAATGAGGAAAATATTTTTGCATCTTTTTGAGTTTATTAACAGTTAAAGTTTTTTTATTATTTAATGGAAAGCGATTTTTAATACTAAGCGCACGCTATTAATCATTTAATATTGAACGAGGTTCACCAAAGCTATATTTTTATTTGCACTATTCGCAGCAATGAAAATTCAAACTGTTTCTTTCAGATTAAATCCAGTATTCTAAGTTCTAACACACATCAGAATTTTAGACATATGTCTATATAGCCTCTATTTTTGCACATATTTCTTTTTCTTTTTTTTTTCCCAAAGGAAAAACAACCTGTAAAATGAGAAATAAAACAATAGGTACTCTGAACCATAGATTTTTTTAAAACGGTTTTTAGAATTCCTATAATATTCGTAAAAGTAACGAATTGAAAAATACCATGATGTCGACAGTTTTTATCAGTACATTTTGTTTCGTATAATTTTCGTAAAAATAACGTGCGTAAAATACGATAAAGCGTCGATAGTATCTTCAGTTTTTTTAATTCGTAAAACTTTCGTAAAAATAACGTGCAAAAAAATACCACACCCTTATTTCACCAAAATTATACGTATATGTTTGGAGGCAAGCTGCCTGGGATCAACAAAATAGCTTGTCTTTTTTATACATCGAGTAAATTATAGAGACATTAGGAATTTTTTGGAAGAAGGCAAGATGAAAAATTAGCAACGCCTTCGGCGGGAATCGAACCACGGACCTCTGGAATATCGGCACAGCGTGCAGAACTGCTACACCACGAAGGCACGCTAGGAAGGCGGGAGAAATACCTTATAAATTATAAGCCAGTTATTAACTTACGTATTTTACTTTTACATAATGTTTCATTAAAATCATAGTTTTATTCAAAGTGACCTAACTTTTTCATTCAATCCTGATAAGGCAGTTTTGCGATTATGGAGAAATACTATTTCAAGCATAATCTTTTTATTTCAAACAATTAATATGATACGTTTTACTTCCTTGTACGAAGTAAAAAGGAAGTATTGTAATCGCGAAAAGTTTCAGGCAGCATATTTCAACGAAAATATCCATTTTGGCCGCTATCGATGACCGCACTTTAACGATGTTTTTGCGTGATATCTGTACGTAAGGACAGAATAAAATACTCTTTTCCTTCAAAAAAATTATAAAACTGCTTTAAAATGAATTCTGAAGAGAATTTTTCGTGGCGTCTGTACGAACGTACGCACGTACGTACATATCTCGCATACTCAAAAACGAGTAGCCTCAGAACGTTGAAATTTTGTATATGGGACTGCTATAACATGTAGATGTGCACCTCGTATTTTGGTTGCAATCGGCCGCATCAAACGTATATAAATATATTTATATATATATCCACTCTGTTACCGGGCTCAGTGATCTCAGTTTCTTTACTCTTATATGTTTGTAAATTGTACATTTTTTTGCTTTAAAAATGATTGAATTTTTGTTGTTTTTATCTTCCGGTTAAGGAATTTTATGTATTTAGTAAATCTGTGTGCAATGTTTTAGAATTATCAAGCAATTTTAAAGTTGTTTAATTGCCGCTTAAGCCTTTTTTTTAATGGCGGCCATTGATGTTTACATTTGAAACAGGAGACTAGTAGATTTGTTGCCAATCTAGAGAAACTTAGCTTCGCAACACAAAGATAACGCATTCATTTATTATTGCCAATTAAATCATGCTTAATTCTTTCTGGAATTTTTTTCGAGGAAATAAGTGTTTTGAGATTTACTTCGTAATTTTTAATATAGATATTTTTTGAGTTTTTTATTATTTTTTGCCTTCTCGCGAAGTGAGAACTGAAATTAATTAAATGAGAAATACTCAATCGTCTGTGAAAAACTATTTCTTTTTTGTTTTGTTTGCTTAATTTCTTTTATACAACGTTCTAGCTTTATTATAGTATTTGAATAGAACATGCGGCAACGGTTAGATAATTCTTTAAATGATATACATTTTGTGCATTATGAGTTATAATATGAACGAAATATATACGTTAACTGTTATATAATTATTGGTTTATATAATAGTTAACTTAGTTTCCGTTATAAAATTATTATATAAGTTAACTGTTATATAATTATTAATACTGTTAAGTGAATCTAGCGCCAGAGTGTCGCTATGGTAAACAATTACTAGAGTGAATTTTAAAGAATGCATTTATTCTATTGTGGTTTATGCGCTGTCGGCGAAGTAGATTTAATTCGACCCAATAAGTTTAAATGAAATGCAAGAAAAAATGCGTATAATTTAATATTCCGTACGAGGAAGTCATGTGGTGTACACATCAGATTTTTTTTCAACTATTCATATACGAGTAAAACCTCTAAATTTTACTTCACGATTTCAAACAAGAGCAGTCTTCTGTGAAAGTCGATTAAACAGCATGGATCCCAGGCAGCATGACTCCAAAAATATACGTATAATTTTGGCGAAATAAGGGTGTGGTATTTTTTGCACGTTATTTTTACGAAAGTTTACGAATTAAAAAAACTGAAGATACTATCGACGCTTTATCGTATTTTATGCACGTTATTTTTACAAAAATTATAGGAAACAAAATGTACTGTCATTGATATTCAATTTGTTATGTTAGTGGAGATATCGATCACATAAGAAGAGGCCGCCAGCAGAAGTTTCACGGTATTTATCATTGAAACATAGCAGTACTGCTACAATCATTCCCAGTAAGTTATGCTCAATTATTAATGTTATAGTTTTCAAAGAAATATGATTGTTTTGGTTGTAAAAAAACTTCGCTCATTTTCAGTTTTATAATCAAATAAGTGTTCAGTTTTTCCTCAGATAATTAATGTCTTTTTAAATATAAAACTTCATTGAATAATTTGTAACCGTAACGTTGTTCTTCGTCAAAATATTTCTTTCGGAAGTTAATATTTCCTCCCCGTGCTTATATTTCACAATATTTTCAAAAGATTAATAATATTTTCAAAAGATTAATAATATTTTCAAAAGATGACCTATTTAAAAATCTTCACATGAATTAATTCCATTGTTTATCAAGTGCAAATCATAGATGGGACAGAAATCCAGAAACTCTTTCATAAAACCAATCCTTTTTGTGGACATCGCGAATTCTCTAAAACATCTAGAAACCAGAATTATTTGATGTGCTTCTAATCTCGTAAAAACATCTTCACAGCTATACAGAAAGGACCTAACAAAATTCAGTCAACTGTTCTTGTAAAATCCAAGAACATTTACAGAATGCGAGACTGGACAAGTTGCAAAGACTGGACATCATTGCACTGCAATGTGAACTATCTCGCAGAGTCTAGAACACCTCCTAATGTTACTTCACTACATTTAAAGTGACTATATGCGAAAATTTAATAATATGCTATACAGCGTTATATATGTTATTTTACGTCAATAAGAATAATGTCTCGACTTAATTTTAGCTCAACAGAAATAAGTTATGAGTTTTATTTTATGCAATCAAAAATCTTTGTTTAAATTTCAGTACAATGAAACACTAAGATTATGTTATTATTTTTAAAGCTTAAGGGCACAGAAATTAATTTCATTATTTTAGTTTAGTTGAAATATAAATAAATTGCGCTTTTAGGCAAATAAAGTTAATTTCGTTGTTTAGTTTTGCTACTAAAAATGTGATTCTGTTTTGAAAGATATTTTTTAACCCTGCAATCTTTTTTCAAATAAAACAGGGTTAAAAAAATTCTACCATTTGCGGAAGGTTCCCTGCTAAGGGATAGGCCATTTCATTGCCAGCGTTCCATAGTGACAGAGGATCTAGGTATGGTAACTTGATCATACAAAGACATTGTAGAGTTATTAGGCTTATGGACATTGTAAAGTCATTAGCAAGAAGGCATGCGGAAGGGAGGGAGAAAATACCTT